TATGGGAGACAGAAGCCGAGGATTCATGAACACCAGGCAAGCATTCCCTCACTGACTTCCACCTTCCCTCAATCTTTTTACTTCTGATTTTCAGACAGTTTCACCAAACTCCCCAGGCTGGCTTTGAACTTGCCATCCTTCTGTCTCAAAATCCACGGTAGTTGAGATTACAAGTTTGTGCCTCCAGGCCTGGCTTCAGCAATTTGCCTTTTGTTTTCAGAGTGGCAGTGGTGATTGAGCCCTCAGGAGAAAATTAATAGGACTCTATATCATTTCTCCTTCCTTCAGGGAGAAGAAGGAAACACCTGAGATTCAAGGCAAGGTCTAGGGTGTTAGTGGGGGGCAGCAAGGCAAGATTCTACAACTAAGCCAACCAGCGCTTGTCAAGCAGCCTTGCTGCGATGTCAGAGCCTGCAAAGGTCCAGATAAGAGACAGAGCCCAATGCTGCCACCGGCAGTAACCTGAGAAGTTCTCAAAGATCTGCATTCAGAAGGGCTTGGTTGCAGATGAAGCACTATGAAGTAGAATAGAGGTAATCAGGAAGAGGTGTGCATGTACGCAAGCATGTCTCTGTGTGTGTGTGTGCGTGCATGTCTGTGTATGTGTGTGCACGCATGCACATGCATAACACTTACCTTTAATCATCATTTTGACACAACCTAGGATCACCTAGAGAATTTCAGTGAAGAACTGTCCACATTGAATTGATACTGGGCATGTTTGTGGCAGTTGTTTTAATTGAGTTACTTGATCTGAGAAGCCCAAGTGGATTATGGGAGGCAGTGTTCTCTAGGCAGGTAATCCAGGCTGCAGACTACTTAGTAGTCAGCAACACTTGCTGCCTTTGCACAGGTCCCAGATTTCATTCCCAGCATCCACACAGTGACTAACAAATATCCTAAATTCCAGTTACAGGAGTTTTGGTGCCCTTTTCTGGCCTCAGAGGGTACCAGGCACTCACATGTAATCCTAAAGCTCATGTACATAAAATACAAAGCTTGTCTTTTTCCGATAATGCTTTTTGTTTGTTTGCTTTTTATTTACTTTTTACATATTCACTTTTATATCCTGCTTATTTCCCCCCTCTTGTTCACCCCTTTCCACAATCCTTCCCCAACCCCCCTCTTCTTCTCCTCAGAGCAGGTGGGAACCCCCTGGGTATCCCCTCACCCTGGCCTTTCAAGTGCCTAGGAAGCTAGGCCCATTTTCTTACACTGAGGCCAGACAAGGTGACTCAGCTTGATGGGGGAGCCTCCTCAGGCTCTATATCTCCAGTAGTGTGAGTCACAACAAAACCTCTAGCTGGGCATTTGAGAAAATTAACAAGATAGATAAACCAGTAGCCAAACTAACTAAAGGGCACAGATACAGTATCCAAATTAACAAAATCAGAAATGAGAAGGGAGATATAACAACAGAAACTGAGAAAATTCAAAAAATCATCAGATCCCACTACAAAAGTCTGTATTCAACAAAACTGGAAAATCTAGATGAAATGGATGATTTTCTAGACAGATACCACATACCAAAGTTAAATCAACTAACTTTCTCAACTAGGCAGGTAAACTATCTAAAAAGGTCCATATACCTCAAGGAAATAGAAGTAGTCATTAAAAACCTCCAACTGGGGAAAAAAAAAAGCACATGGCCAGATGACTTTAGTTCTGAATTCTACCAGACCTTCAAAGAAGAGCTAACACCAACAGTCCCCAAACTATTCCATAAAATAGAAACAGAAGGAGCACTACCTAAATCATTCTGTGAAGTCACAATTACTCTGAAACCTAAACCACACAAAGACCCAACAAAGAAAGAACTTCAGATGAATTTCGCTTATAAATATCGATACAAATATACTCAATAAAATTCTATCAGACCAAATCCAAGAATACATCAAAACCATCATTCACCACAATCAAGTAGACTTCATCTCAGGGATACAAGGTTGGTTCAATAAATGAAAATCCATTAACATAATCCACTATATAGACAAACGCAAAGAAAAAAATCACATGATCATCTCATTAGATGCTGAAAAGGCTTTTGACAAAATATAACACCCCTTCATGCTAAAAGTATTGGAGAGATCAGGAACTCAAGGCCCATATCTAACCTTAATAAAAGCAATATGCAGCAAATTAACAGCCAACATCAAATTAAATGAAGAGGTATTTGAAGTAACCCCACTAAAATCAGGGACAAGGCAAGGCTGCCCACCTTCTCCCAATCTATTCAATGTAGTACTCAAAGTTCTAGATAGAGCAATAGGACAACAGAAGAAGATCAAGGGGATACAAATTGGCAAAGAAAGTCAAGCTATCACTATTTGCAGATGATATGATAGTATACATAAGTGACTCCCAGTGACCCCCCAAAATTATACCAGAGAACTTCTACAGCTGATAAACAACTTCAGCAAAGTGACTGGATATAAAATTAACTGAAGCAAATCAGTAGCCTTCACTTCCTAGATAAAAGACACACAACTTTTATTATTTACAATAAGCCTTAAACAGCACAAGAGCTAGGCTGATATCTACCCTCTGTGCTATTAGAATCTATTTTCCTATTGACATCCCTGAGTTATTACTTACTATGTTTTATTTGGGCTGCATTTGGCCAACTTAACTCCAATTGGCCAATTCTCAGGGACACATTTTCTTGACTTCTAACATATGGCATCTTCTCTTCCTCTTCACTTTTTCCCCCTCATGATCTTCTCTGACCCTAAGCCTAGGAACTCTAAACTCTGCCTATATCACTTCTGTCTTGCTATTGGCTGTTGGTATCTTTACTTACCAATAATAAATAACTTTGGGACAAGGTCACATGGCATCACTTGGGTCTTCATTAGGACTCTCTTAACTCTGGAACAACCAGGTATTATGGGCCTGTACTTCACATCACGATACATAGGAACAGAGAAAATCTCAACAATGCTTTTCTTATGGTTTCTGGGAAGCCAAACTCAGGTCCTCATGATGTGAAGCACTTTACCAACCTAGCTCTCTCCCCAACTTGTCTCATTGCTGTGACACAATAGTCTGACAAAGGCAAATTACAGAAAGTCTTAACCATTTTCCTCTTTTATAGAACAAGGTTAGCAAGCCTTCTGGCTCTATGCTATCTGAGACCATCACAGGTAGATAGTCATATATAAACTGTCATATATAGACTTTCACATATAGATCCTTACATACTCTGATCTTGGAACTCACCAGCATCCACCACATATTTTGAGTTCTACAAGAAGAGAAGCTGATAAGGCATCATGGGACCAGTGTTATTTACTTTCCTTTTTCTGATATATTAGTAATAGTATGTCAATCATTCAAAGTGCTTTGCTTTCTTTTTTTTTTAAGTTTTATTTATTTTATATATGTGAGTACACTGTTGCAGTCTTCAGACGCACCAGAAGAGGGCATAAGATCCCATTACAGATGGTTGTGAGCCGCCATGTATAATTGAACTCAGGACTTCTGGAAGAGCAGTCAGTGTTCTTAACTGCTGAGCCATCTCTCCAGCCCAGTGCTTTGCTTTCAAAGTTGCAGTGGTGTCAAAATAAAGAAAAACTTTTCAAAGG